GTGAACGCAGGCGTGCAGAAATCCGTTCCTGACACACAGGTGTCCGTTCCAGCTGTCTTTTCTTTTTTTTTTTTTTTTAGACAAATGCCCTGAACAATGTCAAGGGCATCAAAGCCCCTCACAACTCCCAAGGAAAGAGTTAAGAGGAAGAAGTGTGGCATTTTAGAACGTTGATGGAAGTGAGGAGGAAACCCGCCTTCATAAAGCACTGACTATGTGCCAGGCCCTGGCACCTTCTGAAACATCCTCACACTGAACAGCCTGCTCACGGCGGGAGGTGGCAGAGCCAAGGTTTGGACCCCAGCCCGCAGAGGGACCCCTAGCCCACCCCCTGCTTGCTTGCCTCTAAGGAGGCGCAGCTCACCACTCTATCCCTGGTTCAAGAATGAATTAATAAGATAGTCTTAGGAGGAAAATACGGGTGACAAAGAGCTGCCCTGTTGGAGGAAGTGACATTGGCCGAGCACAGCAAGGATCCTTCCAAGCAGAGGGAGAGCCAGCGCACAGGCCCGAAGGCTGGGCTGTGCCTGACTTACTGAGGAATGGCGAGGAGGGGCGGATCACCGCGGCTGAAGCAGAGTGATGGCGGAAGGCTGGGAGGGGGTTGGCCCTGAGAGGGCTTCTGGGTGGAGGGGGCACAGGACAGGGTCACACACCAAGATAGAACCACCACATGGCCTTCCCCCTGGTTACCTCTGCCCTCCCGCCTCCATTCATGCTCATGTCCCTGAGATTTCTGGGTAACAAACACTGAGTACCTACTGTGTACCAGGGCTGCTCTGGGCCAAGACTGGGGAACCTTTTTTTCTGCCAAGAGCCATTTGGATACTTATCATATCATTCACGGGCCATGCAGAATTATCAGCTTAGAAATTAGCCTGCTGTATTTGGTCAGACATTTAATTAACTCACCCCCAACGCCTTGGCAGGGCCAGACCCAGTGGTTTCTCAGACCTTAAACGGCCTGTGAACCAGACGTTCCCCACGCCTGTTCTAGGCACTGGGAGCCCAATGGGGACAAATGGTGCCGTGGGAGAGACCATCTGCAGTGTTTGGTTGGGAACATCAAAAGGAGAAAAACAAAGCAGGGTAAGAGGAAAGGAAGGACAGGGTGTAGCTGTAGATGCAGAGGTCAGGGTGGCCTCCCCGCAGAGTGACATCTGAGCTGAGACTGAGAGGAAAAGAGGGGCCACGTAGACATCTGTGGCACGTGCAAAGGCCCTGGGGCAGGTACAACGTGACACATCCGGAGACACTGTCAGACCCTTAGCTGTACCCCCACCACCTCCGGGGGATGCTTCCTCCTTTCTCAGGTCCCCCTGCAGCTCCTCGGTGCTTCCAGGTGAAAGTGGTTCTGTGATGGGCTGAAGAAGCAAGGAAGGGAGGGTCCATCCTGGTCAGATGTGCTTAGAAAGGGCGCAGGAAGCAGGTCGCTGAGACCCTACTCACTCAGCCAAGGTCCCAAGTTATTTGCCTTAAGAGCCCCCCAAGCTAAGGGTCCCAGAGCCCGAGGAAATAAGTACAAGTGTGGGGTTACAATTCCATTTCCTGGCTATGTGAGTGGCAAAGCCCCTTCTCCCCGGGCCTCAGTTTCCACGCCTGAAAGTGGGGTAACAGCAGTGGCTTTGCTCTAGAGTCGTGGGCTGCATTCCGCAGATGCTCGATACATGTCAGCTTATCGTTATAACTATTGACATGTGCACAGTGTGGGGCATTTTCTGGGCACCAGGCCACGGCACTGTGTAGTTTCTGGAAAGGTCCACGCCCTCTCTGGGCACCAGTTACACCGAAGCCCGCCAGGAGGGTATCTGAACTTGGAAAAGGGTCCAAGAGAGAACCCCCCTCCCCTGCAAAAAAGCAAGGGTTCAAGGGCAGGGGCAGGAAAGGTTAAGGACCATGACGCAAACAAAAACCTACCGCTCCCCTCTTCCCCCCAACACACACACACACACACACACACACACACACACACACACACACCGGCCTCCAGGCGGTTAGCTCTGCGGAGGGACCAGCTGGGAGGATTTAGCCGGCGCATCTGCCACCGGAGCAGCTGCTGCTCCGGGGGGGCCGGAGGGGGATGTGGGACGAGGGGAAAATCTGTCCGAGGAGAATTGCGTCTGCGCCGCCCAGCTGCCGGCTCAGGCTGGGGGGACACCCCAAACCCGCCGGGACCCCGCGCCCCTCCCCGGCGGCGGCCGCCCCCACGTGCCTCTGGGGGAGGGGGCGTCGGGGAGGCCCTGACGTCACAGGAGGCGTGGGCCAATCGGAGCTGTCCTTCCCGGGCCCCAAAGGGATTCCCGGGCCACAGCGGGGACCTGGGGCAGGACCCGGTAGTGAGGACCCTCCACCGGCGTGCAAAGAGGCCCCGCACCGGCGGGGAAGCCGCGGCGGGGACCGGCTGCGCGGGGCGTCCCGGGGCCGCTGCCCAGGCCGCTCCAGGGCCCAGAGAGGGGCAGCTCGGGCGGGAGTCACACAGCGGCGGCGCGGCGGGAGCACGGCGGGGGCGCAGCTGCAGGCGGGCCTCCCTCTCCCCGCTGGCGCCGGGCACCGGGCACCGGGCACCGGGCCGGGCTCAGTCTCTGCCCATCGCGGCCTCCGGGCCCCTTCTGGTCCCTCCCGGCCCCTGCGACCCGGGGCCGCAGCCCGGCCGCTGGGCACGAGGTGTCAGTGCCGCGGGCGCCCGCAAAACCCGCACTGGATTCCTCCCGGGTCGGATCTGGACAGGAGCTCAGTGCTGCCTAACCCGCAGCTCAGCTGGGGAAACTGAGGCCCAGAGGGGCGGGACTCCGCTTAAAGCCACACACTAGGAGGAGGATGCTGCTGGCTCTGGTGACCTTGGGTGAGGCCCTGCCCCTCCCCGGGCCTCCCTGACTCACCCCAGGGGGAGCTGTGAACTTCCTGCCACCCTCTTCCAGGTCAGGGCTCAGACAGTCAGGAGCCCAGGGCGTGGGGAGGAAGGGCCCCGGAGGGGGAAATGAGCAGCCGGGCCTGACCTTGCCCCGGTCCAGGGCATGAAAGACCCATTCATGGCTGCTGAAGACTGGGTGGCAGCTGAGCTGGCCTGTGGGGGTGGGGCCTCACTCAGGGCCTTTGTGCAAGCAGGTCCCTCTGCCTAGCATTCCTCCCCACCCCTCACCCCGCACCTCATGTGCTCTGCCAAATCCTCTACTGTCCTGTGGTCCCCAAATCGCCTCCTCATGGTCTTCTGGGCCCCCCCCCCAAGTCACAGGGCCCAGTCATCTCAGCCTCGGTTCCTCTGTCTCCCTGCTAGACTGGAGGCAGGTAGCTGGTTTGTCTTGTTGACTGCTCAGCCCTGGGCCTGGTACACAGTAGGTGCTCAATAAATGTTTATGGGACGAATAGGTTGCCAGAGAGGGAGGGCATGCCCGGGGGTGAGCACAGCACAGGTAATGGTATGGAGGTCGGAGGAAGGGGTAGAGCCAGAGGTACTGTGCTTTGCCCCCTCCCTGTTGACAGGTGTCATCTCCCCAGGTGGGCAGGACAGAGGGGTGGCAGGTGCGGGCTGATTTGCCTGGACTCCGCCTCCGCCTCCGCCTCCGCCTCCGCCTCCGCCGGAAAGAAGGTCAGGGCGGAGCCACAGGCAGGAAGGCCTGGCCGCTGGCGGAGGTTTGTGGTCACCACGAAGGCCCCTGGGCAGATGCCCGGACCCTGGAAGAAACCAGTTGCTCAGGACCCAATGTATCCCATGGAGCAGGGTTCAAGTTTTTGTTTTTGTTTTTAATATGTTTCTTTATTGATTTCAGAGAGGAAGGGAGAGGAAGAGAGAGAAACATCAATGATGAGAATCATTGACCGGCTGCATTCTGCACGCCCCCTACTGGGGATCGAGCCCACAACCCAGGGTATGTGCCCTTGGCTGGAATGGAACCCGGATCCTTCAGTCCGCATGCCGACACCCTATCCACTGAGCAAAACCAGCTAGGGCAGGGTTTAAGTTTGGATGTCATACAAGGAAGCCCACAGCCTGTGGGAGCCCCAGGACTGTTGGGGTCCAAGGATGGGACACAGGGGTAACGCCCACATAGAAGGTGCTTTATGACGGTGCTCTCTTCCCATCGGCTCTGCCCTTGGGCAAGCTCCTTGGCCTCTCGGTGCTTCAGTTTCCCATCTCTGGGAGCCTTACAGGCTGTCCTGAGGAGTGAATGAAGTCACTTCTACATCCAGGGCTCAGAAGTCGCCCCAGTACCCAGTAGGTGTGCAAGACGGATGGCTAGATAAACACATCACAATAAAACGTTTGGTGATCGCCTCCTGTATACTGGAGATGAGGGGCTTTGGACAGACAGGGACATTGAGCGCCCGCCGTCCTCAGGTCATAGCGGGTCAAGGAGGTTACAGGCTGTCTCTGCAATCAGAAGACCAGTCTGTCCCGGAGTCCCAAAGGCAAGGGGCCCAGGGGGAGCTGCAGCCCCCCAGGAACCTCTTCCTGTGCCAGGCCCCGCAGGACGCCGGGACAGAGGACAGCCTCCGTACCGTGATCTCTGCAGCCAGCTGGCTCCGGTTCAAATCCCCACGTTCTTACGAGGTGACTTTGGATACGACGCCTCCCTGCGCCTCGGTTGTCTCACATGTCCGCCGAGTGTGACAGTTAGTGCTCGGAAATTAAATACATAACCTCCCGGGACGGGGACCAAGTGGACCCCGGGGTTTCTGACCCCGCCCCCATCCTCCAGGAGTGCCTGGGGATGTCCTGAGGATGTGAGTCCGGCCAGAGCGGACCCCGCAGGAAGTCCGGAGGTAGGAGGGTGCGCGGTGAGATCCCCACCCGGACAAAAGCAGGAAGCCTTCTCCTGGATCTCTCTCCCCACCCCCTACCCCCACCCCCACCCCATCCCGTGCCCAGTGCCTCCTCCGGCCGCCCACCCAGCTCTGCCGCCCTCCGATCCGCACCCCTGCTAATCCGGGCCGCGTTTTGCGCGGCTCCGGCCCGGTTTTGGGGGGAGAGGTGGCGGACCGGAGGGGGGGCGGAGGTGGCTAAGCCGCGAGTCGCTGCGGCCGCGGCTGCGGGCGAGGAAGATGCGGCCGCGGCGCGCCCCCGGCCCGGCCGCCCCGCAGCGCCCTCCCCGGAGCGGACGCCGGCGCGCGGGGCGCCGGGGCTGAGCCCCCTCCCCCAGCGCAGCCCGCGGCCCGGGGCGGGGAGCGCGCCCCGGCCCCCTCCCCGCCGGGATGCCCGGCTGAGCCGGCCCGGCCCGGACAGGTGCGCGCACCGGCCCCCCCGCCCCGCCGCCCGCGCCCTCCGCCCGCGCTCCCTCCCGCGCACTCCGGCGGCCGCGGCTCCGAGGTAAGCGCCCCGGGCGGCTGCGGAGGGGCCGGGGGGCGCCGCCCGGGGGTGTCTGCCGGCGCGGCTGGGGGGCTGGATGGCTGGCTGGGGCGGCCGGGGCGGGCGCTGTAATTTGGGGGGGGGCGGTCCTGAGGACCCCGCCATGGGGAGGGGGATGGATTGGGAGCCGGGAGGCTCTGTCAGCACAGCCGCTGGGGAGGGGGCTGGGTTTTAGGGGGGCCGCTGTTTGGGGGGTTGTCATGGGGTCCAATGGCAGCGCCTGGAAGAGGCTGGATTTGGGCCTGGGGTGTCGAATGAGGCTCCGTATGGGGGTGCCATGGCACCGCAGCTGCGGGGGGAGGAGGGGATGTTGACTGGGGGCCTGTCTGTGGAGCTATAATAGGGGTTCTGTCGGCCCCGCAGCGGGTATTTTGTCCGGGGAGGGGCGCTTAAGAGACAATGATGGGGGCTCACGGCCGCGCCGCGAGGGAGCTGGATTTGGGCCCAGGTTGGGGGGGTTCGGGGCGGACAGGGGGCCTGCTGGCCAGCGTGAGGACTGGTGCTGGGGGTTGGGGGTTGGGGGTAGGGGGGCGGGGCCTTGGGGGCTAAGTCGGGGACACCCAGGCCTGGCTGGTGGTCCCAGGCGGTGAGGCCCCTCCATCCCGCTTTCCCGGCAGCCGCACCTTGGTCGCCCCTGAGCCCTCTCCTGCCGCCCGCCTGGCTCAGAGCTAGTCCAGGGCCCGACCACAGGGAGGGGCCGCGGTGGGCCCAGAGAGCCTGTCTAGATACCCCCCGCTGCAGTGGAGACCCAGGGGGGCTCAGGGGGCCCCCAAGAGCTGACAAAGGGACAAAGAAAGCCTCTCTCTCTGAGAGTGCCAGGCAGGGTGGGGGCCCCTGAGGGTGACCCCCCACAGTCGTGCAGGCGCTCATTGGTCCCCAGAAGGGGGTCACTTGCCCTCTGTCCTACTCTCTGCCTTCAGGTTCTCTCCGGCTGGGGGCACCTCCCCAGAGGGGGTGCCATAGGGAACCCCTCCCCTGCCAGGATGGGTAGGCATTGGAGCTGGAAGCGTTTGCAGGAGTCCTGGGACGGGGCAGTTCCCACGCTCAGCCCCTGTTAGCCCTCTGGCCGAGCTCCTGGGCATCTTACCCCAGAGGCTGTCATCTTTGACCCCAGATCTGAGGGGGGCTGGGGCTCGTGGTTTGGGATCTGGATTTGGATTTAAGGAGGAAGGAGCGGGGACCAATGGCTGGGGCTACAGAAGGGACCCCCACCTCATTTGCAAAATTGCATTTTTTCGTATTCCTTTGGGTTCGCTCGGCTTCTCAAGGGGTCCAAAGTCAAAGTTCAGTGACCTGGGACACCCCTACCCCATGAGCTCCCCGGCCCCCAGTCCCCTTCCGAGTAGACACTGTTTCTTTCATAAGCATTCCAGCTGTGTCTGGGCAGAGGAGAGAGGAGAGCATGTGGGGGTCGTGGGTGGGGTCAGGACTCACCGGAGAGGAGGTCCCGAGCTCTAAGGAAAGTGGCTGGGGGTCCTGGGGCTCCTAGGAAACCCCTCGGACACCGGGCAGATGGCAGCCGGCAGAAGCCTCATGGAACGACGGAGTGCCCACCCTGCACGGGCGCACTCCCAAGAGCAGATTGGGAAACTGAGGCCCAGAGCGGCAGCAGAGGGTGAAGAGGGAAGCCAGGCCTCTCCGCTCCTGGGACTGCTGGAGGGGGCCCCGGGGAAGGTGCCCCCAGGGGGAACCCCAGTGCTCTCCCTCCCCCTCCTCTCTCCACCCCGGGCTGTGCAGAAATCAGACCCGGAGCTTCCAACGCCCTACCCCTCTCAAAAAAAAAAAAAACACAAAACATCAGCCTAGAGGAAAAGGCAGGCGTGAGCGGTGTGGCCCAGGCAGTCTTCAGCCCTCTCCCGTTTCCATGTCCCAGGAGATGCCTTTGGGTGTAAGGAGCTCAGGGGAGGGACATGAGGTGGAGACCGGCCCTGAGTCCGTCACCTCGCCATTGTCCTTCCAGTTCCCACCTGCCCTCGGCCAGAGCTGAGCACCCGGGGTCCTGTCTGTCCCCTTCCCCGCTTTGGGCCAGCGGAGGTCCTGGGTCACCTGGAGCGGCCCTCTCCCTCCGGCTCCGGCCTTCCCCTCTGTCCCCTGGGTGAGGAGGGCAGTGACGGAGGTTTGCGCTGTGGAAGAGTTTGGCATCTGCAGCGGCCGCCCAGGGCGTGTGACAGGAGTTGCCAGGGTTACCTGGGGCTGGACCTGCCAGATAGAAATCACACTGTCCTTGGAAAGGTGACCCTGACGTCAGCCGGCGGGACCGGGGAGCTGGGTCCCCGGGGGCTGAAGGGCGTGCCGGCTGCCGCCCGTCCCCTGGGTCGGAGGGTGTCCCTGGCTGACCCTGGGGTGTGGCCCTGTCCTCTGGGCCTGGCCCTTCGCCAGGGGATGCTGGGGGCCCAGAGAGGACTCCGCCAGGGTTGTGACAGGTGGAAGCAGGGAAGGCTGCCTGGAGGAGGAGAGGATGCTGACCCTGGGCTTGAAGGAGGAAAGGGGTGTTGCCAGGAGGAGAGGGAGCCGGGGATTGCAGGTGGAGGAGCAGCGAGGAGAGTAGTTGGGAGGGGAGTAGTTGGGAGTCCTGAGCGGCTGAGCTGTTTTAAGGGCGGGAGACATGGTAAGGAAGCCTGAGAGCCAGCAGGGGCTGCACATGCCACGTGGAGGAGCGGGCTTTATCCGAGGGAGCGGGGAGCCGCAGAAGGCCTTAGCGCAGGAGTGGGAATGGGCAATATTTCAGGCTGAGCCACAGCGAGGAGGAGTTCCCCCTGTAAACCACGTTAGCTGCCTGGCCCAGGGTGGACCGCCATCCTGGGAGGGGAGGTAGGCAAGTGGGTTTGTACAGCCGCCTCTCCAGAATCCAGGGAAATAATTCCGGTTTTGTTTAGTCCAGGTGACCCTCCAGATTTCTCCCAAATTTCCAGATACTGTGGGTTTTCTGAACCAGAATGTTTACGATGCCATGATTCCGAAATCCAGAGCCATTGAAAGGGCTGCAGGTTCTCAGACTGATTCCCCTAAGACAGCGGTTCTCAACCTTTCCAATGCCGCGTGACCCTTTAGTGCAGTTCCTCCTGTTGTGGGGACCCCCAACCATAAAATTATTTTCGTTGCTCCTTCATCACAGTAATTTTGCCGCTGTTGATGAATCGGGAAGCCCAGGTATTTACATTACGATTCATAACAGTAGCAAAGTTACAGTTATGAAGTAGCGCTAAGACCTCACAGTGATTGGGGTAGATGGTGGGTGGAACCTCACTTAGCAAAAATAGAAACACTGAGGCTCCAGGGAGCCCCCAACAGACACAGGCGGGAGCCGGGGCCTACGAGGTCTGGACCTGAGACACAGAATTATCTTTTATTTCCACGGCCGTTCATCACCTGTCCTTCGGGGATGTCCAGATAAAGCGGGAGGCATTACAACACGAGGAGAAGACGGGAGGCCAGGACCCGCCTCGGGCAGGGATACGAGCCCCTCACTAGGGGCCCTTGATAACCTTTCATTGTCTGGTCCCAGGGGCCAAAGGTGGCTACTCCAGGGCCTGCAGGGAGGGAGACCCTGTGTGGTGAGGACTACATTCCCCAGGATGCACCTTGGCCCAGGCTGAGCCAGCATTCCAAGGGCAGGCCTAGGAGAGAACTTCCCCAATGTAGGAGGCCAGTAAGAGTTGTGGGCTCGCCCTGACTGGTTCGGCTCAGTGGATGGAGCGTCGGCCTGTAGACTGAAGGGTCCCAGGTTCGATTCCAATCAAGGGCATGTGCCTTGGTTGCAGGCACATCCCCAATGGGGGGTGTGCAGGAGGCAGCTGGTCGATGTTTCTCTCTCTTCGATGTTTCTAACTTTCTATCCCTCTTCCTTCCTCTCTGTAAAAAAATCAATAAAATATACATTAAACAAAGAAAAAATAATTGTGGGCTCTTCGGGGAGCCCTCAGCCAAGGCACATGGGGAGATCAGTTCCTCAGAAAGGCTGCCAGCGGCCGCCATGTCCTGTGTCCCACGCTGAGTGACACCGGAGTCCGAGGGGAGGAGGCTCTGCTTGGCTCTCCGTGGGGTGAGGAAACAGACGCAGGCACTGGCCCTCTGTGACATGGGTCATGGGTCTGGTGAAGGTACGTTCTGCCCAGTGGGTCAGAGAAGATGCACTTCGGAGGGGCATTGTGCCTAGGACCGTGATGAATGTATAGGAGTTCACCAGGGGAGATCACACGTTCTCCGATCGTTTCAGTCTTCCTTTCCCGGATTAAGAGTCTTCGGGCAGTTGAAACAGCCGCTTTGAATGATTGTCCGTAGAGATTGCACAGTCGTCACATGACACAGGCCCAAAACTTACCTGAGTTTGCATCCATCTCTTCATTCACTCACCCGTGCCCCCTCCTCTGAGCCTCAGCTTCCCCGTCCGTAAAACACAGGTGCTAGGCTCTCTCTCTCTTAGGGCTCAACATTGAAACAGGAGGATGCAGGCAAAATGCCAGCCATTGTCCTGTATTTTTTTTTTCCTTCTTATTCCAGCAAAAGGAGTTATTTTGAAAAACAGAAAGTGTGGCCTCTGGCCCTGATCGCAGTGGGGGCTGTGGGTCTGTGCTCTCAGTTGATAAGCTGACAAATATTTAATGAGCACCTACTATGCGCCAGGCGCTAGGAGCCCAGCAATGACCGAGGCTGCCTGGGCCCAGCCCTTGTCCTGCTCACAGCCTGGTGGGGATATGGGCCCTAACTGGAGAGAGAACGTAAATCAAGTATGAGGAGTGGTCTGAAGACAATCGTATTGGCTGATGTGGCTGAGAAGGGCAGAGCTGATGGCGTAGGGAGGGTTCTGAGACGGTGGCATTTGAGCTGAGACTTGGAAAATAAGGAGTCGGTCATTCAGAGACCTAGAGGAATGGCACTCCAGGAAGAGGGCACGGCCTGTTCAAAGGCCCTGGGGCAGGCAAGTGCCTGACATATTTGAGGAACTGGAAGGAGGTTCCTGT